TGCTGAGGAGCTTGGCGCCGTCCATGTTCGACGTGCCTGCGCGCGCCGATACCAGAACAGCCTGAAGCTGCTGGATGGCCACGGAGACGTTAGCCATTGCGGGGGTCCCGTCAGCTGCCACGGCCGCCACTGCAGACTGGGCATGGGCGACCTCCACACCGAGGCTGGTCGTCTCGGCCTCGAGCCTGGTGAGCTGCTGCTGAGCATCGGCGAGCTCGTTGGACATCTGCTCGAACTGAGCGGCCTTGGCCGCACGCTCAGACTCCTTGGCAGCCCATCTGTCTTTGGCGCTCCTGAGCAGGTCGGAGGGGTCCATCTGAGCCCGCAGGGCGGACTCCTCCTTGTCATTGGCGGCCTTGGCGGCGATGACCAGGTCGTGCTCGTCACCGTAGATCCGACGTAAGGCCAGCCACGCCCGCTTGGACTTGACTGCTGGAGACTGCTGTGCCGCTGCGTCGCCAGCAGCCTGAGGAGCAGCATGAGCCAGATCATCACAGTCACGCCAGGGCGCCTCGGCGCCGCGCGGAGGAGGTCTCCTGCTGCGGCTTGGCGCCCGCTGTGGGGCGGTCGAGGGCCTGCCGTCCCTGCCCCTGCCGCATGCCCAGCACGTCGTCCTGCTCGAGTAGTTGTTGCGGAAACCGCAGGCCTTGAACGCTTTGCATGGCCATGCCTCGCCATGCATCTGCACCTGCTGCGGCTCCTCGGGCGGCGCACTGCCGTGGTGTGCCTGCAGGAGCCGCCTGGCGGCGGCCTCACGCAGTGTCTGTCGCGCACTGGCGTGGCGCCAGCGAAGGCGGCTGGCGTCGGGGCCCGCCCTCAGGGGCCGCTCGCCGCCACTGCTGCGCCTGCGCCCGCCGTCGGGCAGCAGGCTGGGGCCAGATGGATGCGCCCGCCGCGCGGCCCCGCGCGCGTGGGCCCAAATGGCAGCCTGAGGAGGAGGAGGAGGAGGAGGAGAGGAACGAGAAGGAGGAGGAGGAGGAAGAGGACAGGGATGAGGAAATAGGACAGGGATGAGGAAATAAAGAGGAAGAGAGAGAGAGAGAAGAAGAGAGAAAAGAAGAGGAGGAGGGGGAGGAGGAAAGAGAAAGAAGAAAAAGAAATCCACAACTAGATACGTAAGAAGTTCGGAAAGCGAATAAGACGGAGGAAGAAAATAAGGAGGGGGCAAAGACAAAGGAAAAGAAGGAACGACACGGAAGAAATCGAAGGAAAGTAAGAACAGGAGGAGGAGGAGGAGGAGAAAGGGAGTTCATGCTGCGGATATGCCGACCAACCAGCAAGCCGCCCAACGAGCCAAATAGACGGCCTCGTCTCCACACTCCTCCATGTATTTGCCTAAGAACCGCCAACCTCCTCCCCTGGCACTCCCCGTTTCGTCCTCGTCCTCCTCCCTTCCAACATCACAAGGTACGACCTACAATTGTTAATTACACAATTAAGTCGCCGAGCAATTAATGCTGCAACTGCAATATTAGCCTTGTGGATGCCATGACAATGGACACTCTGACTATCCTATCATTGGATTAATGATGTGTTTGAAATGTGTAAAACATGTTATAAAATTGTTTCAAAGATGTTTTTACATCTTGAAAGCATGTTTGAAACATCGTTTAGACATCTGGAAATTACTCCGGATCTCATAACAATGGGGGGGGGTCTGCTTCTGGGGGGGGGGGGTCTCACGGGCTTCGTCAGACACATTTGTGGGGGGGTCTCGATTTTGGACCTTTTGTTGCCTGTCTTGGGGGGGGGTCCCAGACCGGCCGTCAAACATTTGTTTGACCCCCCCCCCACTATTATGAGATTTGGAGTAGTTGGCAGCATGCTTCCTCTCCATTAATCGGCTTCCACAATATTAGCCTTACAGTAAATGATCATTCTCGGCGGCCATGCTGCAATTAGGAAGGACTTCGACTCGTAGAGGGATCAGAATCAGAATTGCCAAAGGATTGCCACGGCCAGCGAGAGCACTTGAGTGGGAGAGGAATTTGAATTGGAATTTCCAAGAGTTCGAAAGGATGCCGCATCGCTGCGGAATTGGACTCAGATTTGCCAGAGAATGCCGGGGCCAGAGAGAAATATTGAGTTGGAGAGGAATTTGCAGTTAAATTTCCAAAGCTAAAAGGGATCTGAATCGCGGGGGGAATTGCACTCAGCATTGCCAGGGAATTACAAGGGCCAGCGAGAACTACTAAGTTGGAGAGGAATTTGAACTTCAATTTTCAGAGTAGGAAGGATCCTGGATCGCGGCGGAATTTGATTCAGATGCGCCAGAGGATGCCGAGGCCAGAGGGGAATATTCAATTGGAAAGGAATTTACAATTGAATTTCCGGAGTAAGACAGAATCCTGAGCGGTAGATAATCTAGCATCAGCTTGGCAGGAGGATTGCCAGGGACAGAGATAATTGTGGAGTTGGAGAAGAATGTGCAATTGAATTTCCACAGTTAGAAAGGATTCCGAACCGCGGTGGAATTGAAGTCAGATTTGACACAGGATGCCGGGGACAGAGAGAAAGATTGAGTTGTAAAAAAAATCGCACATTGATTACCAGAGTGAGAGAGGATTCTGAATCGCTGAGGAATTGGACTCAGAATTGCCAAAGGATTACAAGGGCCAACGAGAACATTTGAGTTGGAGAGGAACTTGCATAGGAATTTCCAGAGTTAGAAATGATTCCGAATCGAGGCGGAATTGGACTGAGATGTGCCAGAGGATGCCGGGGCCAGAGAGAAAAATTGAGTTGGAGAGGAATGTGCAACTTTCCAGACTTAGAAAAGGTTCTGACCCGTAGATAGATTAGAATCAGAATTCCCAGATCATTACCAGAGCCAGACGGAAATATTGAGTTGAAGAGGAACTTGCAAGTAAATTTCCAGATTTGGAAAAGATTCCAGATCCACCCTGATTCTGAATCCCTTCTAACTCTGGAAACTCCATTACAATTCCATCTGCAACTATATGTTTTCCTGGCCCTGCCAATCCTCGGGCGAGTCCGATTCCAATTCCGCCGCGATTCACCATCCTTTCTGACCCTGGAAATTCAATCACATGGCACATCCCTGTCCATCTCAAAACATGTTCTCTAGCCCCCACTCCAGTGGCAAATCAGATTCGCACTCCTCTACGATTCAGAATCCTTTCTCACACTGGCGATTCAATTACCAATTCCTCTCCAACTCAATTTTCCCCCCTGGCCCTGGCAATCCTCGGGCGAGTCTGACTTCAGTTCCGCCGCGACTCCGAATCCTCTCACTCTGGAAATTCAATTACAAGTCCTCTCCATCTAAATATAGTTGTTCCTGGCCCTGGCAATCCTCTTCCTTCCTGGCCCTGGCAATCCTCCCTCGGGCGAGTCTGATTATAATCCCGCCGCGATTCAGAATCCTGTCTAACTCTGAAGTAAATTGCCAACTCCTCTCCAACTCAATATTTCTCTCTGACCCATGCCATCCTCTGGCAAATCTGATTCTGATTCAGCCGCGATTGAAAATCGTTTGTAAGTCTTGAAATTGGATTGCGAATTCCTCTCCAACACAGCACTTAAGTCTGGCCCTGGCAATCCTCTGGCAATTCAGACTCGATTTGTTCTACGATTCGGAATCCTTTCAAACTCTGGAAATTGATATGAATTGATATGCAAATTCCTCCCCAACTCAATCTCTCTCTGGCGCGTAGGTTCGAATCGTAGTTGCGTTCGTGCCGCGCACGGGATTCCAGTACGAATGCCCGTCGGAATGATTGCTGTATTTCTTTGCAGCGCGCGTTACAGCACATAATTCCTGAACCAAGTAACGCCGCACTGTAACGCAAGTTGCTTGACATGAATACGTGTGCACATGTTGGAAGCCTCGGCCGCAATCCGACCCCGGCTGGAGGGCAGCAACGAACGACTCCCGACAGCCCCAGGGGCCCGAAGCGGGCCTGCACGGGCCTCCCGACCGACGAGTCGGGCAGCTCCCCCGCCCACAGGCCAGCCAACCACGCGCTTACCAGCAGCCGAGCCCACGGGCGCCCCAAGGGACAGGCCAACGGCAAGCCACACAACAAGTCGAGTGCCAGCCCACGGGCAGCCGCGCAGCAAGACAACTTGCCAGCCAAGCCCTGGCCCAACGGCCAGCCCACGACACCAAAATGGCATCAGGAGCGCCCCAGATCGGCGGCACAGGCCAGAGGCCTCTGGAATCAGTACGGAGACTGTCCGCAGTTTTCGGCCTCGGGGGGCCCTCGCCAGTCCCCAGGACCGTCCAAAAACTACTCGAGACAAGAAACGGGCCCTGGAAAAAGTGTCGGGACTTCCAGAGACCCGCATTGACAAAAAGCAAGACATTGGATGTCTGGGAATGGGGTCGGACAGAACGGAGACGATGCCCCGCCGCGAATGTTAGTGCGCACCAGTGTGTGGCGCAAGGGGCTTCCAAGAAGGCTTCTGAGAAGCCAGGAGGGCTTCTCAGAGGAACCATGACCCCACCTCATGCGCCGCCAGAATACGTCCACATCCACTGCCGCGGGCTCCTGCCCCAGGGACTCGGGGAGCGGTGGATACGGAGATCTGCCCGCCCACGCGGGCGGCCAGATCTCCATGTCCACCACTCCTGGGGATCCCAAGGCACGACTCCGAAGCGGTGGATATGGACATATGCTGGCGGCGGACCTTACAGATCTCGGCCAGGCCCATCCTGGGCCAAGGATCGGCCTGGCCAGGATCAGTGCGGGTGTGTGCCCAGACGTGCGACGGGAAGACCCGACTCTGTCCTGGGGACCAGTTTTGCGTCGAGGGCCCCTGGAGGCCGAAAACTGCGAGAACCCCCCGTCTTGTCTTTTTCCGACACTGTGGAGGTCTGGGCAGGTGTATTGTTGACGTCCCCCGCTCTCTTTCCGCCCGAGGGGAGAAAAAGCTGCACAAGCACAGAACGTCGGAATTCCGCGCGGACCCTCGAAAACTCGTGCTTTTATGTCTATGTGCTTTCTTCGACCGCCTCCGCTTCGGCACCCCAGATCCTCCGCGTCATCGGAGGAGTCGTAGCCGCCGATCAGCCCCATGCGCGCGGCGGGCCGCGGCGGCCCTCCGCCGGCTGCGCGGGAGAGTGGCCCCCATCGGGCGACGAGGCGACCCCAGGCAAGAGGTGGCCTCTCCCTGAGGGGCAACGCCAGGGGGGGACCGGATCGGGGAGGGAAACGCCGAGCTCCTCCTCCTCCTCCTCCTCCTCCTCCTCCTCCTCCTCCTCCTCCTCATCCTCCTCCTCCTCCTCCTCCTCCTCCTCCTCCTCCTCCTCCTCGAGTCCGCGACACGGCGCTGATGGGTCGGCGCTTGGCCCCCCCGACTGCGAAGCCGCGCGCTCCCGGAGCGGGGCGGGCGACGCCTGCCGGGGGGAAGCGGCAGCCTGGAGCCGGCGGCGCCTCGCCGCCAGGTCGGCGAGGGGGCCCCCGACAGCGAGCCCGCGCGCGCTGGGCGGGCCGGGACGCGGGGCCACTGGGCGCCGAGAGCGCGACTGGGGGGCCGCTCCCCCTGCCCGGAGCCGATCCCACGGGGCCCAAAAATGTGCACCACCACCACCTCCCTCACCCTCCCTTCCCCATGCAAGAGGAGGGGAAGGGGAAAGTAGAGGAGGGAAGAGGAGTGGAGGTGGTGGTGGTGGTGGTGGTGGTGGTGGTGGTGGTGGTGGTGGTGGTGGTGGTGGTGGTGGTGGTGGTGGTGGTGGTGGTGGTGGTGGTGGTGGTGGTGGTGGTGGTGGTGGTGGTGGTGGTGGTGGGTGGTGGTGGTGGTGGTGGTGGTGGGTGTGGTGGTGGTGGTGGTGTGTGGTGGTGGTGGTGGTGGTGGTGGTGTGTGGTGGTGGTGTGGTGGTGGTGGTGGTGGTGGTGGTGGGGTGGTGTGGTGGTGTGGTTGGTGGTGTGGGTGGTGGTGGTGGTAGGTGGTGGTGGTGTGGTGTGGTGGTGGGTGGTGGTGGTGGTGTGTGTTGTGGTGGTGGTGGTGGTGGTGGTGGGGTGGTGTGGTGTGGTGGTGTGGTGGTGGTGGTGGGTGGGTGGTGGGGTGGGGTGGGGTGGTGTGGTGGTGGTGGTGGTGGTGGTGGTGGTGGTGGTGGGTGGTGGTGGTGGTGGTGGTGGTGGTGGTGGTGGTGGTGGTGGTGGTGGTGGTGGTGGTGGGTGGTGGGTGGGTGGTGGTGGTGGTGGTGGTGGTGGTGGGTGGTGGTGGTGGTGGTGGTGGTGGTGGTGGTGGTGGTGGTGGTGGTGGTGGTGGTGGTGGTGGTGGTGGTGGTGGTGGTGGTGGTGGTGGTGGTGGTGGTGGTGGTCACAGCGGCCCTATAGGCCCCCAAGATCGCCCCAGGGCAGCCCAATGCAGCCCAAGAGGCCCCCATAGAGGCCCGCAAAACGGCCCCAGAGGGCCCCAAAACAGCTGAAGAAGCCGCCAAGACGGCCCAAACAGGGCCCTATTGACCTCCAAAACGGCCCTAAGCATCCTTAGCCACGCCATTGCTAACCAGGGCACTGAAACTTCCACCTGGAAAGAAAAAGCTTGGGATGTTTGGACCCACAGCTGCAGCTTTCTCCGGCGCATCGACGTCCTGGTTCACCGACGTACCCGTTTACGGGCCCTGATTTTTGTTCCAAGTCGGAGCCCCCCAAGATCCCGACACTTTCCCCAGGGCCAACGCTTCATCCCTGGTCGTTCTTCATCGGCCCCAGGACCCGGCGAGGGCAACCCAGGGGCCGGAAACGACGAAGGATAACAAGCGTGGGCCCAAAAAATGTGATTCTGGCCTTATACTTGTGCCACGTAGGGGACGCAAAATATGTGGTGGAATCTACGTGGCGCAGTCTGTGTTGTGCAGTTGATGTTGTGCAGTCTAACTGGTGCAAATCAACGTGGTGCAATTCGCTCTGCCGAGCTTGGAGTTGTCAGTTCCACCGTTCGCGCAATCATCCCACCCGCCCACCTCGCAACTTGGTTTGCAAAACCCGTGCGGCGGCCATTTGGCGTTGGCTGGCGTATCACTGCGGCCGCGCTAGCGCACGCAGGCTCGCGCGCAGAGCGGCCAGCGAATCTGGCGCGACGGACGCGGCCGCGTGGCGCTCAGGTCAATGGCGGCGCCAACGCTGATCACGCAGACGACGATGATGGTGCCAACGTGTCGGCGATGAAGGTTGTGAAACGATTTCGACATGCGCGCGCGGCTGAAGCGCGAAAGTGGCCCGTTGTTTTTTTAAATACGGATCGTACTTCCCCCCCGTAGCACGTGCACAAGGGCGTTCGGATGATTTCGACATGCGCGCGCGAGAGGCCCATCTGGTCGCATGTGATGTAGCTGTTGAACAACGGATGGCGTTCCTAAGAAGTCGTGGAAACACGCGCGCAAATCTTCTTTGACACATATGATGGTGCAAAACAGGTGGTTGTTATATGTGTTCGGCCAAGTCACTTTTGACATCCTCCCAGAACCTGCGGTGTTCGAAAGATTGCGGCCTGCGCTCGCGACGTGCACGTGTACTCTTTATTTTAGGCCAGTTTTTCTTACAAACGGAAGATTGCTCATAAACGAATGTGCGCGTGCAGTATAATTTGACGAGGATGCGGGAAAGAAGGTCGAACCTGGTTTGGCTGGGGTGATACTAATGCAGATGTAAAATTCGCCGGCCCAACGGGCCAGAGGCGTGCTAAGATCTCCGGTAACTGGTTTACAATTCTTCTAGTTCGGGCGCGCGGGGCGGCCCCTGGGGGTCCCCCGGCGAGAAGTACCCCGACCGCAGCCCGGGAAGGTCTACTCAGAGATGGTTTTCCTCCTGGGTACGGCCTCTCAGGCCCCCCAGAGCTCGCCAAGAGGGCCCCAAGAGGCCCCCAAGACTGCCCAAGAGGCCCCCGAGACGCCCAAAGGACGCTCCAAGACGCCGAAGATGATCCCAAGACGGCCCAAGAAGCCGCCAAAACGCTCCAAGTGGCCTCCAAGAGGCCTCACAAGAGCGCCCCGAGAGGCCAAAATCATCAATTTTACGATGGTTTTCGAAGGATTTTGGCCTTGTCGCATTTTCGGCTTTCCGATGCTCCAAGACGGCCCAAGGGGCCCACAAGAGCGCACGAAGACGGCTCAAGAGGCCCCCAAGAAGGCCCCCAGAGAGCCCAAACGGGCCCTGAGACGTCCCATGAGACGCCCAAGACGGCCCAAGAGAGCCCCAAGACGGCCCCAAGAGAGGCCCAAGATGGGGACCACGAACCGAAACCTCGAGCCTTCCGCCCTAAGAGGGCCCCAGGAGGCCCCGAGAGGCCCCCAAGATGGCCCAAGATGCCGCCAAGAGGCCCCCAAGAGACCCCAGGAGGCTCCAAGGAGGCTCAAAAGAGGCCCTACAAGGCTTCAAAAATGTTCCCAGGCGCCCCCGAACGGCCTCTCAACAGACCCCAGGGCCTCCCAAAGAAGCATCTGGACGACGGCCCTGTTTGGCCCCAAGAGCGCCGCAAGATGCCATCGAGAGGCTTCCTCCTCCGCCCTTTTCTCTTCCTCCTCCTCCTCCTCCTCATATTTATCTTCATCCTCCTCCGTTCCTTCTCATCCTCTTCTCCTCCTCCCCTCCCCCTCCCCATCCTCATCTTCCTCCTTCCGGCGGTGCCGAAATGGCCCCGAGCCCGCGCCGAAGCAGTAGCGATCATGCAATACGGGCCGGCGGAGTGAGCGAAGCGATTGAATAAACGATAAGGTAATTAAATGTGCAACTTGCAAATCCAGGGGCGCGGCTAAGCCCAGCGTCGGGAGGGCAGTGGATCCCAACTATTTTTTCCCAACCATCCTGTGGTGTTGGGTCCTCGTTTTGAAGAGACAGCGCCCCGCGTCCTCCCTCATCCTCCTCCTCCTCTCCTCCCTCCTCCTCCCTCCTCCTCCCTCCTCCCCATCCCCCCTGCGTTTCACATACCCAGTACAGCGCTTCGTGGCCCCATAGGGAGCCCCACCGAAGGTCCCAGTGCTGCCGGCCGCATGCGTCCCGCACACCCAATATAACGTTTCGTGGCCCTCCTCCCCCTGCTCCCTGCGTTTCACCCACCCAGTACAGCGCTTCGTGGCCCCATAGGGAGCCCCACCGAAGGTCCCAGTGATGCCGGCCGCATGCGTCCCGCACACCCAGTACAGCGTTCCGTGGCCATCCACCCACCCAGTACAGCGCTCCCTGGCACCATAGGGAGCCCCACCGAGATCCCAGTGCTGCCGTCCGCACGCGTCCCGCACACCCAGTACAACGTTTCGTGGCCCTGCTCCCCCTTTCCCTGCGTTTCACCCACCCAGTACAGCGTTTCGTGGCCCCATAGGGGGCCCCGCCGAAGGTCCCAGTGCTGCTGTCCGTATGCGTCCCGCACACCCAGTACAGCGCTTCGTGGCCCCATAGGGAGCCCCACCGAAGGTCCCACTGCTGCCGCCCGCATGCGCCGCCCCCACCCAGTACAGCGTTTCGTGGCCCTCCTCCCCCTGCTCCCTGCGTTTCACCCACCCAGTACAGCGCTTCGTAGCCCCATAGGGAGCCCCACCGAAGGTCCCAGTGCTGCCGCCCGTATGCGTTCCGCACACCCAGAACAGCGTTTCGTGGTCCTCCTCCCCCTCCTCCCTGCGTTTCACCCACCCAGTACAATGTTTTGTGGCCCCATAGGGAGCCCCACCGAAGGTCCCAGTGCTGCCGCCCGCAAGCGTCCCGCACACCCAGTACAGCGTTTCGTGGCCCCACGGGAAGCTCCACCGAAACCACCAGTGGGACCGTCCGCATGCGTCCCGAAACACCTAATTTGTCATTTTCGCCTACAAAGTACAGCGTTCATGGCCCCATAGGGAGCTCCACCGAAGGCCCCAATGCCGCCGTCCGCATGCGTCCCGAAAACACAATGTGGCATTTTACCCACCCAGTACAACTTTCGTGGCCCCATAGGAACCCCACCGACGGCCCCAGTGGGACTGTCCGCAAGCGTTCCGAAACACCCAATGTGGCATTTTCACTCACCCAGTACAACGATTCGTGGCCCCATGGGGAGCTCCACCGAATGCTTCAGTGCCACCGTCCGCATGCGTCCCGAAAACCCAATGTGTCGTTCTCACCCGCCCAAGACAGCGCTTCGTGGCTCCATTGGGAGCTCCACAGAAGCGCCCAGTTGGACCGTCCGCGTGCGTCCCAGAAACTGAATTTGGC